CTTTTTTTAAAGGAATTAATTGACCCAATGCTTTTATAATCATTTTCCAGATTATTCTATAGTCTTTTACAGGAGCCAGGTCACTTTGTCATACTAGGACAGCTGAAAAGACCTGTTATTTCCCCACTGTGGGATCAATAAAAAGTTATTTTTTATCTTACTTTTCCCCACCTTTTGCACCAAATTAATCTGAGGAGTTGATCAGCTCTGCTTTTTAAATCTGTTTTTCTTCGTAAGGAAGACTATCAAATGGCTTCGCCAAAATCCAGACCACAACATTCAAACTGTCTACCATATGTGCAGCTTGCTACCTAGCTACCTCGCTAGCTGGGACTGGCGCGAGGCTAGTGTGACGTGTGTGTCCGTCTGTGATGTGCTTTTTGATGGTGAAGGGGCTCAGCAGCCCCCGCTGGACAGAAGAAGTCAGAAAGAAGAAGTCAGTCTCCAAACACAAGCAGCTACAAAACAACCACCAGAAATAGAASCTYGATTTGTCGCTAGTCKTTTTTAACAAAGAAAATGCTGCTAAAAGTATCAATAAAGTYTATGGCTCAACTCAGAACAGAAACAAAAGTAAAACAATGCTCTCACGGAATGTTTACACCAAAAGATCGCTGATWCGCTCATTTCGCTGTCAATCAAAAAGGGATTCAGCCTCCAACAGATCAACCAATCATCATGCAGAAGCTGAGCGTCCGAGCCAGCCAAGGCCAGCCCACTTCCCCATAGACCCCCAGAGATGCTCAGCGTCCGATGGGTGGGACAAAGCCAGCATTTATCCAATGACTCGTCTCGTTTCGCTGCACTCTTTGCATTGCTAATRAGCTCTGTGGAAGCTGAGCGTCCAACTGTTTGTGAAGCTGCRGGAATGAGTGAGAGGAACGYCGYGTCGTTACTGTGATAAAAAGCTGATTCTGAACAAAAGTTCAGCGCGTTGTAGCACAGATTTAGTCAATGACATGTACACACAACAGTATATATTTGATCTCTTTTTTTTACATTTTAGGGGAAGCTGAGCTTCCCTTACAGTCTTAGAGCAATCACTTCTGACACATGTGCATTGTTATAAAGAACTTGTAAGATTTACTTGAAAAAATTCTCATAACAATTTGCACTAATGTTTGTTAAGTAAATTTAAATGCTACAAATTCATGTAATATTTACTCATCTTTATCTAGTAAAAGTTATGAAGAATATAGTTAAAGATTTGTGAATAAACCNCTACAAATTCATGTAATATTTACTCATCTTTATCTAGTAAAAGTTATGAAGAATATAGTTAAAGATTTGTGAATAAACCAGGTAAATTTTACTTAATTTGATCAAGTACGTTACAAGATTTAATTGAGTTTAATTAATTAGAAATGATCACAATTGCCATGCACGAAGCGAGCAAACTTGACAAGTCATTGAGAGAAAAGCTGAGGTTGCCATGGAAATGCCATTGTACGACTATTGATTTTACAACATTTTTCCATTTATTTGGGTGACAATGCTTCATAAATCCTCCAGTCATGTCACTACCCATCTCCATTAATTCCTCATGCCAAAATGGAACCCTAACTGGGGTCATTGCCCTCTGCACAATGTTTAGTTAAGTCAATATGTTGATTTTACATTCTCTTTTTTGCATTTGTGGAAATCCAGGATGGCAACCAAAATGGCACAATAAACATACATGTGACAAAATTTCAAGTGGATATCATCAACTTGTGTTTACTATGCATGTTGAAGATTATAAATATACAAAGCTTTGAAAAGAAATATCAATGGGGTGTACAGGGGAGAAGTTCATGTGATTCAGTTTAGGTGAATTTTAGCCTTTTTTGTATGTGTTTACTCCAGCCATTATGCATCAAACATGATCTAATCATGGGAATCTATTTTTCAACCAATTACCTATGAAAACACAAAATAAAATGAAGTGAATGGTGTCTGTCGGATGTATAGTTTAGGAGCTATRATGATTTAAATTTTCATTTTTCACAATGGAAAATCCAGGTTGGCCATTAAAGATAGTTAATAAAAACATATATGGGACAATAATTYRCTCTGGGGTCATCACAATCCATTTACTAGACACTTAAGGATTACAAAAAGTTAGGTTAAAAAATATAACTTTCGAGTGCATGGGACCCCCACCTTCCTACTTGACTAACTGACTCCCTGTCAAATTCAGAATAGATTTTAAAATATTACTCTTAACATACAAAGCTCTTAACAGCCAAGCTCCATAATATATTAAACGTCTTATTGTTCCATATTTTCCTAACAGAGCACTTCGCTCTCAGACTGCAGGTTYACTTGTGGTTCCTCAAGTTTCTAAAAGTACAATGGGAGGCAGAGCTTTCAGTTGTCAAGCTCCTCTCTTGTGGAACCAAATTCCCATTTCTGTCCATGAGGCTGACACTCTGTCTACTTTTAAGATTAGACTGAAGACTTTCCTTTTTNTTACAGGCACCAAGATGGGGGTCAGTAAGTATTCCCACTCCTGCTGGGCGCCTCTCAGCATGGGCAACTCCAGAGTGGAAGAGTGTCCAACCCCTCTCGAGGAGACTGGTTCCAGAGCCAGAGCGGTGCGTCGAGGTGAGTCCAACTATATCTAGTCAGAAACTCTCAACCTCACACACCAGCTCAGGCTCCTTCCCCACCAGAGAGGTGACATTCCACGTCCCTAGAGCCAGCTTCTGTAGCCGAGGATTAGGCCGTCAAGGTCCCCACCTTCCACCACTGACCAACACACATTACACCCGACCCCTACGGGGTCCCATGCACCCGAAAGAAATATTTTTAACCTAACTTTTAGTAATCCTTACAGTGTCTAGTAAATGGATTGTGATGGCCCCAGAGTGAATTATTGTCCCATATATGTTTTTATTAACCATCTTTAATGGCCGACCTGGATTTTCCATTGTGAAAAGTGAAAATTTAAATTATCATAGCTCCTAAACTATACATCCAACAAACACCATTCACCCCATATTATTTTTGTCTTTTCATGGGTAATTGTTTGAAAAAATATTCTCATGATTAGATCATATTTGATGCATAATAGCTGGAGTAAACACAAAAATGCTAAAATTTGCCCAAACTCAATCACAGGAACTTCTCCCCTGTACACCCCATTGATATTTTTTTCAAAGCTTTGTATATTTATAATCTTCAACATACATATTAAACATAAGATGATGATATCCACTTGAATTTTTTCTCATGTATGTTTATTGTGCCATTTTGGTTGCCATCCTGGATTTCCACAAATGCAGAAAAGAGAATGTAAAATCAACATATTGACTTAACTAGACATTGTGCAGAGGGCAATGACCCCAGTTTGGGTTCCATTTTGGCACGAGGAATTAATGGAGATGGGTAGTGACATGACTGGAGGATTTATGAAGCATTGTCACCCAAATAAATGGAAAAATGCATAAAAATAGATAGAATTTGGCCTCGGAGAAAAGAAAACCACCCCAAATTATTCATTCATCAAGTAGAAGGTCTTCATAATTGATATCTTGCTCTTCAATGTCATCCTCATCTATTTCCTCTACTATTTTCTCCAGCAAGTCAATCAGTGTAGTAGGGTAGATTGGGTCACATGACCACACTGGCTCCAGGGTACCATCTTCACCCAGCCCTGGCCAGGATTGTAAGGCTTGGGACACGGGAATGTTGGTGAGGTTGCTCTTTTGTATATGGCCAGGTGGGGGTTGACTTGATTAACATGTGGAACCAGGTTCTCCCTGCAGGGTGGCAATCACGAGAGGTACACCTTCAATTTTGTGGTGATGGTCTCATCCTCCCAGATCATCTTTCTGAGCATGATGCTTCTTGTGCGATTCACAGATTTCTCCTGACCGTGGCTATACATCAGACATGTGAAGGCCTAGATGTGCTTGAACACTTCTGGTTCCACAGACCACTCCTCACCAAGTTTTCTGAGGAGATAAATAATTATAGTATTGCAAAATCATATTGCATCAATGCATAGGGCCAGCAGGTACTTATTGCCATAACATGCTTCTATAAATCTGAATAAAAACATTAATCTGAAAGCTGCATGGTACTTGGGATATCTCTGCAGCTTTTTTAGAGGCCCAACCTTCCCTTTACCCTTAAAGGTGCACTGAAAAAACAAACTTTTGGGTGTAGTAACATTTATTTAATTATTCTTTTGAATTTTACAAAAAAATCAAAATCTCTAAACTACTAGAATTTACTAAATAAACAATACAATTTTGAATTTGAACTGAAATTGAATTGAATACGCATTATATNTGTCTTTAGTCTCTCTTCTCTACATGTTTATTGTAATTATTTCTATCAATAACATGTTTTTCTTTTTGTCTCTTTTCCAGAAGCAGGTGCACCTGGACCAGTTCTTCTGTGTTTGTCTGTGTCTCTTTCCTGTCCCCCAACCAAGCCGGTCTAGGCAGATGGCCGCCTGTCCTGAGCCTGGTTCTGCTGGAGGTTTCTTCCTGTCAATGGGGAGTTTTTCCTCTCCACTGTTTGCTCAGGATGGGAGACTGTGATGAAGTGATGATTCAACACGGTCTGCTGGCTTCTTGTTTAGATTGTTCTTTTTTATGTTCATAGCCCTGAGACAACTTATGTTGTGACTTGGCGCTATATAAATAAACTCAATTGAATTGAATTGAATTGAATTAAAAATCTCATTGTACTTAAAGGTATTCATAGAATATCTAAAAGTGAATACCGGTACTCAATGTGGTTTAAGGTGTCAGAGCCTATGATTTGCATTGTCTAAAACGTGAAAGAGTTTTGTTTCCTGCATATTGGTCACTGTAGTAAATGATGCAGGTATGAGGAAGTTTCATTGAAGTCAGACAGAAAAAACCTGACTGACAACATCAGACAGGGCCGTTGCTCCTCCCACAGAAATCAGGAAATCACTGCCTATGCTGCACTGCACTTCAACCTGAAATAATTAAAACAGGAGATTAGAGAACCTGGCAAAGGTTGGTGAGTACTATTTTCTAAACTTTTGACCTTATTTAAGTAGTTTGTACTTTCATTTACATCACTTTATTGTGGCTTTATATCTTTGTTTTTAAGGTTTTGTTTTTGAGTTTGGGAGGTTTTTGTGTTCAATTTTAAATTTCAGCAGACAAGGAGGAAAAGAAAAACAAGGAGCTATGAGTGGTTATGACTGGATGTCCCAACTGCCAACCGAKCTTCATACCATTCCTCTTTATAAACTCACCATACCAGGTAAAAAGCTGAACACAGGACAGCTGCTATAGAAATACTGCAACTTGTCTCTACAGTATGAGTTGCCATCTAACACCAATATACTTTTTTATGTGTAAGCAAAAAAGATAATTTTGTTTCCAGAATTGTCTATTATTTATGTGAAAGTCTGTTGGTTAACGTTAACTTTTAGGGAAATCTTTGTAAGGCACAAATGTTACCTCTGTGTTTTGTCATTTACTACTCATAAATACTTACTGTATACTTCAGACCTATTGGCAATATGTAATAATGGCGCATGTAAAATATGACAACCTTTCTATTCACAATTGGAAAGTGAATGTATGGTAACAATATACAATCTTCTGATTTGCTTTTCTTTAGTGGTAGTAATTATTTTCTTTTTTTCTGGCAAACTTTCCAAAGAAGTCATACTTATTCACTCGTTTCCTGATGGTCCTGTTATGAATGTTAACATTCAATCTGATAACTGAGGCCTATAGTGTCTAGTATTGAGCTTTTGGATTTTAACATTTCTGGGATCATTGCACAGCCTGACCTTGGGGTAATTTTGCTGAAATATCCATTACTGGGAATGCAGCTGCCTTAAATGATTCCTGCGTGAGAATTATCTTTCTTTCTGTAAATGATGGAAATGACCTTCACCTTCATGACTGCAGCATTTCTGGTCCAGTCTAATTTCTAATAGTCCTCTCCAGATGGGCCTTCAGTTAATTAAAAAAATATGCATGATCAACAAATACTATTAAGATCACACATAAGCTAAAGTATGAAACCAATTCCAATCACATCACATAAGACAGGATGTTGTCAGAAAATTATCCTCTCCTACAATTAAAAATCTGCTTCAGTCTTGATRTAAAATGATGCCATTCAGAAAGGAATTAACATTTTACAAAAAATAAAAATAAAAATTCATATTTGATCTCTTGTATAAAAAATTGTTTATCCCAAAAAAGTTATACAACAAGACATCACAGTTCCCCCGGGGCCAAGTAAACCAAAAAGTCCATGAGCACCTGTGGAGTTGACACTTTGACAATTTACTGCATTTTCAAGTCTTGCACAAAGAAAAAAAATCTGTTATCAAAACACACTGTGATATGGGACCAACTGTATTTTGAAAGATGTGTTTTTCATTGAATTGATAACAGGAATGTGCTCTCTGTCCTTCTCAGGAAGCCATGATTCAATGAGCTATGACTTAGACATCAACTCCACAATTATAGAGCCTGCAAGACTGACAAGATTTAGCAAGATTTGTTGTTTGCGTAGAATCATACGCAGATGGGCAACCACTCAGGTAAGGAGAATATTTTTCTGTTTAAATGCAGAAAGAGTGGATAGTGTTTGACTTGTGTTGGCTTTAATCACAGGAAGTGACCATCTCAGAACAATTGAACCAAGGGGTTCGCTACTTCGACCTGAGGATTGCTCGCAAGCCCAATGACACTCATCCCACCAGGCTTTACTTCCACCATGGACTGTACACTCAGATGGATGTAGAAGTGAGGGATGAACCACGCCACGCTGAAAGTTACTGGTTATAGTTTGGACAGAAYAGAAGCAAACACAGACAGGAACCACATAATTAAATGTTAACCCATTTTGGAGCATCTTTTTCACTGTACCCAACAAATGTTATCAAACACAAAATGACCAAAACTGACAATACAGGACTAAAAATTGGTATGGTAGTAGTGGAGAGCAATTTTTAACGCATACATCAAGCACTAAATGTTGTGCAAGATGTTTGCTGAAAATTTTGCCATGAACAGTTTGCCATAAGTTGGAGTCAACTATATTTATCTGTTAGCAAAGTATTATCTACTGGATTTTATTGAAACTTTCCTAAAGTAATCGTTGAATGTACATCTACAACTGATTAAGTATTAGAGTCAACCCAGTAGAAGATGGCTGACAGCCAATCAAAGTCAGCCAGCACTAAATAATGATGAAAACACAGTCAATTTTACWGATAATGATCTAAACCAGGGATAGTCAATTCTGGTCCTCAATGTCCGCAGCCCTGAACATTGTGTTTCTCTGCTCCATCACACCTGATTTGAATGAATGGATGATTTTCAGGCTTCTGCAGAACTTGGATGAGGTACAGTAATTCACTGATTGAATCAAGTGTGTTAGAGAAGGGAAAAAAGTAAAACATGCAGGGCTGCGGACCTCGAGGACCAGGATTGACTATCCCTGATCTAAACTTTGGTATGGTAGTAGCTACAGTCATTTGTAATACATATTTAAAGCACTATACACTATATGCAATGTTTAATTTTAAATCCTGGCATTGCTGTAACCASTGGAGTCATCTGTCTGTTAGCAAACCAGCTTTTGAGCCATTCAGAAAGTAATCATATACATTTACAACTGATGAGCATTTGGAGTCAACCATATTGAAGATGGCTGCAGCATCTAATCACTGTCAGTCAGTGCAAAAATGGCTACAACTCAGTCAATTTCACAAATAATTCACTAAAATGTGTTGTAGTTCTTGCTGAGAGTCATTCACAATATATTTTTCACAATTTTGTTAAATTTGCACATCATATAAATTTTAAGGTTGGACCAAAGCAACTTTAATGTAATTTATCAACCTTTGTAGTTTCAAATGAAAGGTGGTGAAAGAAAGCTACGTCTTTAACTTTTAAACAGATAATATCAATAAATTGTAAAGATACAATAGAGGAGGGTTTTACCAACTTTTKTTGTGCTATTTTTTGTCATCAGACTGGTCTGAAGAGAATTAACACATGGGCAGAGAGGCATCCCAAAGAAGTCATCATCTTGTCTTTATCCCACTTCCATGGCTTCGATAAAAACAATGGAGCAAACCTTCACAACCACCTCATCGGATTTATTAAAGACTTGTTCGGAGCAAAACTTCTGCCCTTTATGGTAAGGTTTCCATTTTGATTATTAACTTAACCTAATGAAAACAACATTGATTCTCTAAACCACCTTAAATAATGTTCATCTTATATTCCCTTGCAGAATAACCCTTCCCTCGAGAGCTGTTGGAACCAAGGCAAAAACGTTATAATTTCATACGATCATTCAGCRAATCAACAGCTGTGGAGGAAAATACCTTATTTTTATGGCAACAGTATGGACCGTGCAAAAATAACATCAAAACTCCAAGAAGCTTTGGAAAAGAAAAAACCCTCTGACTGTAAGCTTTATTTGTTTCAGAAGGTTTTTATTATCTCCCCGCCAAGGGTGAAGGCAGAACAATTAAGTTTTTACCTGTGTGTTGGTTTGTACCATAAACATATCATGAACCACTGAATGGATTTTAATGAAACTCCATCCAAACTCACATCTACAACCATGTAACATGAGTAAACCCAATTAAGATGGCTGCTGAAGCTATATCGTTAGCAAAACATGGCTATGCCTCAGACAATTTTACAGACATTGAGGTAAAACTTGGTGTGGTTGTTGCTGAAAGTCATTTACATATTCTCTGAGCTCTGACACGTATATCTAGGAAGATCTCCCAATATTGCATTTATGAGGTTAATAATCATCTAGTAGTGCTAAATGATTAGTCTATAATCTGTGCTTTGAAATAATTGGGATTTAATTTTTAAATATCCTACTGTCCACAGATTTCTTTGTGTGTGGCTTAAATCCCACTCTGCCCCATGATGTCAGGATCTTCAAGTACATCCTTCGCCTGTGTGACAGTTTCCCCAAAGTCATCCGCAGGAGTTTGGTGAAGCTGCTGCCATGGGTGAACCAGCAACATGAAAAAACTCCTATGAACATTGTCGCCTCTGATGTGGTGACGAGAGACGACTTTGTCCCAACAATCGTGAAGCTTAATTTAAAACAAAAATGAAAATGTTTCAGTCTCCTTTACTGCTCTTAAACCTCTGGGTGGATATATTACCTGAGGCTTAAGAGGATTGTTGTATAGATTGTTGAATTTATTTTATTTTAAGTTTTGCAATTATAAATTTCCTACCGTAAATATTAAACACAAGAAAAGATTATATTTCAGCAAGCAAGTGAGAAATAATGTTTTCGCCCATGACTGTGTTATCATGAAACATCTCTCGAGCCACTGGACAGATTTTAAAGAAACTCTCAAGTAACCTAATGCTTAGATCAGGGGTGCCCAAACATTTTCCCCGAGAGGGCCAAAATGAAAATCTATCCAGGGCTGCAGGCCAAATTCATTAATATAATACATGAAATACAAATACTTTTTAAAGTAAAGTCCTTTATTTTTAACGATTAAGCTAATGGCCCTCTTTTGTTTTAGTCTGTGCACTTGGAGAAAGTCTGCCATACCCTCAAGTAGCAAAGGCTCATGGGACATTTCATAAATTGATAAAAGGAGTTTTTGTGGCCTTATAAAGTGTGCAAAACTACATGTGGGGTTGAATCTGATCTAAATATTTCTTGTTGTCATTTCATGTTTCATGTTTAATCGTATTAAATCAGCACCATGAATGAAAATTATTCATTACAGCCATTTTATGTAGTCATTTGACCAATGGAAATACTATGTTTCTACATAGTATAACCTTGTAGCTTTGGCAACTGTTGGAGGGCCAAATCAAATTGCTTGGCGGGCCAAATTTGGCCCACGGGCCCCACTTTGGGCTCCTCTGGCTTAGATGTAGCATTAATTTGCAGTCAACTCGGTTCAAGATGCCTGCCACAGCCAACCAACCACAGGAAACACCTAAATTGGTGATATGTTGTCAGTTTTGACATTGAGCTAAAATTTATGACAGCTCAGAAATGAGCATTAAAACATTTTGTGAGACCTCACTGGGCTGACCAACACGAAGCTGAAGTTAGCTTCCGATTCCAGCTTCCGATTCGGGAAATGACTAAAGGGATATTACAACTAATTTTTCACTAACTTGCGCGTGTTTAACCTGCTCTAGCTCAAAAACTACAACATCTACACTCTTCAAACCAGGACTAGATTGTTCTTCACCAATAGCAGAATAATTAAAACTTAGTTTGGGATTTGTGAAAGCTTTTTCTGATTTGTGAAACAGATAGCAGAAATTTGTTTTTGATTATACATATTAGTTAATAATTTATCTTTATTATAAAAATAAAAATAACTATTTGACATATTTGCAATTCTTGAAATTTGTAATGACATCAAATTAATTACAAGGTTGTATGGCTGATCCAATTTAAGGTATGTTAAAAATAAATTAGGCTAGTTAAAAATACAGTTAGAGAAATTGATTTGAACTCATTTGCTTAAGACATATGTTTAATATCATTTTGACTAGTCACAGTTTTACATAAAAACATTTTTATTAACATCATTTTTCAGGATATGCCAAATTTAGTTTTAATATCAGGTGTATGACTAGGCAAAAATAAATTAAAGCTGTGTAGGAATGTAATAATAAATAGTAAAAAAAGTTAAAAGATGTATAAATGAAAGAAATATWTCTTGTATTTTATTTCATTGCTTTTTCATTTACATTTTATGAATTCACATTTTGATTAGTCAGAATGACATATCTTTAAAACTGATTCTGTCTAGTGAAGACATCACAGATTTGCATAGCATTTTGGAGTTAAAATTACATGGCATTTCAGTCTTACTGAGACACTTGCCTTATCCGAATTTGCTATTCAGTAGTCTGCAGTGTGAAACCAATCAAACTAAAAATCTTGTGTTTGTAACACAATTTATATCTCATGTTGAGTTTATGCTCAACATGAATTGAAAACACAGATATTTTATTATCTGTCATTTCAGCAACACACAAATATGAGAGCATCTATTAAAAACATAAGTGGCAGCAGGGTGTGAAAGAATTTTTTTAAAATATCCTCCCAGATTATTCTCAGACTAGAGTCAGTGACCTCTGTTGCAGACCTAAATGTGACCAAGTTTTTTGACTTTTTAGTTTAAATTATATTTTCTCTCACACAAAGTCTTTTAAGAAACACAAAAATTTAAATGAAGACATTGACTTTAACTATTTGGACTTCGGTCAGCATGAAGTCACAGTGGACTGTCATCTTGAGTTTGTCTTCACATTTACAATTGCTAAAGCATGGAATAAAACTGTAGAAAAAATATCCCTTTAAAATGGAAGAAAACTCCTGCAGAAACGTTATAATCGAGAACAGGCACCTGTCAAAACCAGCATAAAAAGTGATGAAAAACAATCTTTGCTGAAGTTTCACAAATCAGAAAAAGCTTTCACAAATCCCAAACTAAGTTTTGAATATTCTTGTAATAATGTAGAATAATTTAGTCCAGGTTTGAAGAGTCTAGGTCTTGTGGTTTTGGAGCTGGACCAGGTCTAGTGTGGTCCAGATGCATAACAATGATGAAAAACAATCTTTGCTGAAGTTTCACAAATCAGAAAAAGCTTTCACAAATCCCAAACT